CATTATGTAATGTCGATAAACTTGAAAGAACTCAAACTGAGTTGAGCTCGAAGTACTCAAACTATTTAATAGTCTTACGTATGTTTAAATCATGGAAACACTTTACCAACGTCCTAGAGTAAGACTTTTGTATATTTAATCTTTTTTATATCCTATAATGACGGAAATGTTTATTCAAAATGTTGTTACCCTGTTCATGATTGTAATGTTCATAAAAATTTGTATGATTGGTATTGAAGAATCCTTCCACAATATTTGCTGGGCAATACCATCACAGTTTGGTTGAAGGCCCCAAATCGACAGTTAAGCCATCAATTCAGCCATTTAGCAGGGTGGAATTTATAATCTTGTCAATTTCGGGTTAGTTCGAATAGAAATATCGACTTGGATGTCACTTCTTGTGGGTAAAAAAATATAAAATAAAATTTTAGAATTGAGTGTAGTCTTTTTGAAGCCCTAAAGTCCTACAACTCCTTCGGCGGGAGAAAATATTCATTGTTATGGTTATAACACGCGAACATTTCTATGTCATGTTTTTTCTTCCTTAACCGGGATGTAATCATTAATCGTGTTAATTTCGGATTAGTTCAAATAGGAAGAACCCCTCAATGGTATCTAATGAAGTTGTTTTTCAATCTTCTAGTCATGTTAGTGATTTACATAGAATGACTTATTAAGTTCGAAAATCATGAAGATGAAAATAAAATAATTTATTTTTAAAATGGAAAAAAAAAGGCATAATTTTTGTCTAAATAGAAAAGTGATGGAATCTATTACTTTTAAAAGGAAAAAATAGGATTTATATCTAATTTTTGTAGTTCTATAAAATTAGGAATTATTTTTTTTTTTGAAACAACCCACATTCACTTTGTGACACTTATCATTGCTCAGGAAGCACACATATGAATACAAGTACTACACGATACGAATATATTCATCTTGGAGATAGAGTATTTAGAATGTATGCGACAAGTATCTAACAATGATAGATATTATATTGATTACTCGATACATGTAGAAAATTATCTAATAAGTAACCTCAAATATTCGGTCAATATCGATATTCAATATATGAATACGTCACTCCAATCAAAATATTTGATTTGAATTCGAGATCAATTTGCCAAATGTCCCACGTACACTTATTGTCTTCTATCACCTCTAAAACTATTGATTGTGCATTGCTAAGGCAATGTATCTAGCCTTTTATTTTCATATATGTTGAGCATGTGATAGAAGTAAACAACAAGTGAGATAAGATAGATTTTTCATAGCCCACATACAAAGCAATCCCACACATATCAAATCAAAGCATCAAATTTAGAGACATTCATTCTCTCCATTAACTGAGTGGTCCACTCCCACTGGCTTTCTTCTTCTTTTTTTTTTTTTTTGAACCAAAGATGGTGGTCTTTGTTGAAAAGGTAATGTTGCTTGTGATATGGATCTCAAGAGGTCGAATTATAGAAACAGTTTTTTTAGACATGTAGGTCAGATTTGTAACGATGGTAAGTTCTTATAGGTTCGTTTTACAGTTTTTTTATCCACCAACCTAAATTAATGTTGAGGATTCAAGCCTGATATCAAAATTCTTCAAGTTTTATCTTTCTGACACCCAACTTTTGATATTATGTCTACAAAATGACTACTTTCATATTCAAACTCAAACACTCGTATTGTTAGTCTGACACTTCTACCATTGCACTAACCACCATTAGGCCATAGTTCATAACGTCTAGCATTAACTTTAATCACCTACCCCAAAGTAACTTGAGTTTTGACAATGAAACTATTGGTTCTCTACACGCTATTCTTCTTGTCATATAAAATTATTTTAATCATGCGTCTTTTGAATTTATAACTCTGACATTTTAAAAAAATTAACTCATGACTTTAAATGAACGAAGGAGTTATAATTATAGATTAAAAAGAATAGTTCACTACACGAGATGCCTACTATTCAGATCTGGGGAGGGTCAGGAATATGTAATCTTACTTCTATACGTAGAGAGGTTATTTTCACGACTTAAACTCTTGATTCCCAAGTTACAATAGATCATTGCTCTAAGGAAAAATACTTTTTTTTGGTTCAACGATCAGAAATATTCAGGTCAGTTTATGCGCATCTCGACTAATTCTCTATCCGGTCCGATCAAAGGTAAGTCATCCACATCAAGATTAGGGTATTCATGAAAAATAATTTCTTCATAGTCTGATCCCAAATAGTTATCAAAATTTGAACTAAGACATCTAAATTTACGGCTCGTCCATATTAGCACTTAACCTACCACTTGAAGTACTACCGAATGAATCACAAGATCAATAGGTCTTATACACTTTTGCTAACTATCCAACACATCATTTATGCTTCAAAATAATTTTGGAGGACAAAACATTTCTCCTGCTCTAGGCCCCATCCTGAAATCTTGTGTGCATGCCAAGTGGAGTAACAAGTCATTATAAGCATATGCAAGCCAATCATAAAACAGCTAAGCTTTTTTCCAAATGTTTTTTGTCACCATGTAATAATGAAATCCAGCTAAGGTCCATAAATAAATGCCTATTAAGAGGAGGTCCCATTTTATTTCAAAAAGGCATCTAAAGCTCTCATGGGTTAACATGATCCAATCTATGTGATTATTAATGTAGAAGCTGTCTTTTGCTCTGTAATTACATAACCACCAAAAGTCTTAGCATTATTGTGTCTCAAACTTGTCTGCCTCATCAATTTACATAACCATATTCATTTATGAACACCCACAGGTACACACACACATTGAGACATAAAACACACCCAAAGTACCAATTCCTGGGACATTTTCTCAGCCTGTTATGAACAGTTAACTGAAGGGTACTGGAAAACAGGTGATACCCCAACTCATTTCAGGACTAAAAGCCTACAAAAAACATAACATATATAAGTAACACATCTCACACAACATAAGACCAGCAAGCCACAAAAAAAGTAACTTTCACAAGCCAGAAATCACACCCAGTGCAATAGAATCTATGGAAATATACTTTGTGCATATGAACACGACAACATGCACCAGAAGGTGCTATATCTTGCTTGTTTCAAGAAAAGGTGACTGTCAATCAAGGTTAAATTTGAAGTACATAATACACGAGAAAGTCATTAGTAAGTGCAATCAGACATCTACCAACTGCATTNATTCACAAGCCAGAAATCACACCCAGTGCAATAGAATCTATGGAAATATACTTTGTGTATACGAACATGAGAACATGCACCAGAAGGTGCTATATCTTGCTTGTTTCAAGAAAAGGTGACTGTCAATCAAGGTTAAATTTGAAGTACATAATACACGAGAAAGTCATTAGTAAGTGCAATCAGACATCTACCAACTGCATTTCATCGCTCGTTCATTGGTCTAATGCTGGTGATGTTAAGAACCAATCGAGAGATTTTATCCAAAACCAATGACACAGGGAAAATGCAGTATGAGTGTGAGGGAAAAAACCAATGTCTTCTTTTATTACCATAAAACTTGAAGAGAAAAACATAGTTGTTTAGTTCCCCTAATAAGCTGTGAGAGGGAACAATATACACGTTTATAAAATTTTCATGAAGAATCATACAAGTTGCGCCCACAACGGTCACATGAAATATGGGTTTCATGGGAGACTCTTTCTGGCTTCTCCTTCTGCATCTTTGGTAGATCAAGTTCCAAAACATCATGCAGTGCCTTTGAGCCTTCTTGGATCTCATCCAGACTGAAAACACCATATTACTTTAAAATGTTAGAATGTAATTAGTAGTATTTATCTGCAGATATATTGTGAAAATCCCACAAATATTCCAAAGAAAACAATAAAAAACGTAAAGCCAGTAGAGAGATAGCAAGAAGCCGAAACAAGAAAAAAATACCGCAAGGTGTGTGAAGTAAATAAGAAAACACTTACTAGGTAGTCAATAATCAATTTTATTTCATTGTTTGTAAATGAAAGGGTAATGTTTCGAATTCTGGATCTTATTACACAAAATAAAAGGGGTAGTATGCTTAGCGCAACAAAGGGGGAATTATTCAAGATTCAAAATCTTGGATAATTAAATTGATAAAAGATGAAATGACATGGATGCACCAACAATTAAAATTTGTACATCAACTTGAGCAAGATATTGTAGCTTTAACTACAGATGTTGCAATCAAATGGAGGGATTTGTATCATCATATAAGGCTGTCGGACATCCCTAGGTTTGTGGCAATTGTTGAAGATTTAAATAGTTACGCAGGGCTACACAGTCATCCAGATTATCCATTAATTACAAGACAAGTGCACCAGTTTTCTTCATCAATGAAAGTTATCATGCAATATTGTAAGTCTCAAAAAATTTATATAGATATTCTACAAATCTTGGCACACTTAAACAATGTACATTCAAAGAGAGAACAACAATAGCCATTTATTGCTTGACTCCCCGTTCCCCCAAAAAGCAGCTTTTATTGTTCAGTCTAAGGACTATCTCTTAATATGTTTGTTGTCTACGCTCCTGGAAAAAAGGTCAGTATGGAAGTTTGGGGCAATTAGTGGGACTGCAAAACTTTGACTCTGACTGAAGTCAGAGTGCACTACGGGAGAGTGCTGTTCCCAGATTCCATCTTTGACCTAGTGTTAATTGAGACGAGCTACTCAGGCTCGGCTCAAATAAAACTTGGCTCGAGCTCAACTCGTGTTCTAATCAAGACAAGCTCGAACAATTTTTCAGGTTTTTTTATAAAAGCGAGCTTAAAAGGCTCGACTCAACCTCTAAAAGGCTCNTCAAGGTTAAATTTGAAGTACATAATACACGAGAAAGTCATTAGTAAGTGCAATCAGACATCTACCAACTGCATTTCATCGCTCGTTCATTGGTCTAATGCTGGTGATGTTAAGAACCAATCGACAGATTTTATCCAAAACCAATGACACAGGGAAAATGCAGTATGAGTGTGAGGGAAAAAACCAATGTCTTCTTTTATTACCATAAAACTTGAAGAGAAAAACATAGTTGTTTAGTTCCCCTAATAAGCTGTGAGAGGGAACAATATACACGTTTATAAAATTTTCATGAAGAATCATACAAGTTGCGCCCACAACGGTCACATGAAATATGGGTTTCATGGGAGACTCTTTCTGGCTTCTCCTTCTGCATCTTTGGTAGATCAAGTTCCAAAACATCATGCAGTGCCTTTGAGCCTTCTTGGATCTCATCCAGACTGAAAACACCATATTACTTTAAAATGTTAGAATGTAATTAGTAGTATTTATCTGCAGATATATTGTGAAAATCCCACAAATATTCCAAAGAAAACAATAAAAAACGTAAAGCCAGTAGAGAGATAGCAAGAAGCCGAAACAAGAAAAAAATACCGCAAGGTGTGTGAAGTAAATAAGAAAACACTTACTAGGTAGTCAATAATCAATTTTATTTCATTGTTTGTAAATGAAAGGGTAATGTTTCGAATTCTGGATCTTATTACACAAAATAAAAGGGGTAGTATGCTTAGCGCAACAAAGGGGGAATTATTCAAGATTCAAAATCTTGGATAATTAAATTGATAAAAGATGAAATGACATGGATGCACCAACAATTAAAATTTGTACATCAACTTGAGCAAGATATTGTAGCTTTAACTACAGATGTTGCAATCAAATGGAGGGATTTGTATCATCATATAAGGCTGTCGGACATCCCTAGGTTTGTGGCAATTGTTGAAGATTTAAATAGTTACGCAGGGCTACACAGTCATCCAGATTATCCATTAATTACAAGACAAGTGCACCAGTTTTCTTCATCAATGAAAGTTATCATGCAATATTGTAAGTCTCAAAAAATTTATATAGATATTCTACAAATCTTGGCACACTTAAACAATGTACATTCAAAGAGAGAACAACAATAGCCATTTATTGCTTGACTCCCCGTTCCCCCAAAAAGCAGCTTTTATTGTTCAGTCTAAGGACTATCTCTTAATATGTTTGTTGTCTACGCTCCTGGAAAAAAGGTCAGTATGGAAGTTTGGGGCAATTAGTGGGACTGCAAAACTTTGACTCTAACTGAAGTCAGAGTGCACTACGGGAGAGTGCTGTTCCCAGATTCCATCTTTGACCTAGTGTTAATTGAGATGAGCTACTCAGGCTCGGCTCAAATAAAACTTGGCTCGAGCTCAACTCGTGTTCTAATCAAGACAAGCTCGAACAATTTTTCAGGTTTTTTTATAAAAGCGAGCTTAAAAGGCTCGACTCAACCTCTAAAAGGCTCAACTCAACTTCACGAAGTTCGGCTCGTTTATATGTAAAATAATTGAGCTACCTGGGCTCGACTCAAGTTCTAAATGAGCTGAGATTGAACAACTTTTTAAGCTCGTTTAGAAAAACAAGCTCGTCAGGTCAAGCTCGCAAAGCTTGCCTCAATTAACACCCCTACCTAACAAAGACCTTGCTTTCAAACAAAATATATTCTTTACCACCCTGTTATTTCAGCTTAAACAGAAAAGGGCCAAATTAGCATTTTCCTTTATATTAGACAAACTTCTCAACACCTGGAATATAGACTGCAGAGACACGAGCTGTTCAATTTATATAAATGAATCTATTATTCATGGCACCTAAGTAATTATCAAAGTGGTGACAATAATACTAGATGGTTTGATACAAAATAAGCAGTGTTTATCTTGACAGTAATAAACATAAAGCTGAATGCATTGGGATTCTAGCAAAGATAAGCTTCCTTTCGTAAGATGAGAAGCTGTATAAGTAATTCATAGTTAATGCAACAGCAGTAATATGAATAGAAATGTAAGGAACAATAAAAATTTGAAGGCATTGAGACTTTAATGGAGACTATTCAGTTATTTTCAGGGATGGAAGAATTTTTTCAGAAGGGAAGATAGAAGACGCCGGAGGGATACTCGTAAAGAATCGTGTGACCAACTATTATGCATGCCATAGAAAATATTACAAGACACTATAACAATAGCCAAACTTCATGGAACAAAATTTTAGGCATCCACAACATCTCTATCTGTTGCTAAATATCATCTCTGTAATAGTTGCAAAGTCCAAAAGAGAATACTAATATGCAGAAATGTCATTGAAGAAAACCATAGCGTAACAACTGAATATATCCAGGAGATGCCGGAGATAGCACAGAGGATAAATATGGGAATTGACTAAGTTACCATATGAAACCAGACAAAAGCTAAAATAGTGATGCCCAAAGATCTGCCAAAACATAAAAAATACAAAAATAAACGAAACTGACACTTCCAACATGACAAAATGGCCAGTCAAAAATAACAAGAGGTATGACTGCAACCAGACTGAAGGAAAAGAAGGGTTCTTGTGGTCAATACCAAACAATTATACCAGGGTTTTGTCGATTTAAGTTAGCAGTACATCTCTACTATAGAAATGCCAAATTGACTGACAGTAAGGATTGAGGCAAGGGCCAAAAGTTTAACTGACATCTCGTTGAGGGTATCACCAAAATAACAATGATGATCCTAAAGAAAGACTTCACATTCACACTATAGAAACACTCATCAAGCATGTTTCCATACCTCATGCAAAGTGGAGGAGTTAATCGGACAATAGAATCATGAGTTGGCTTAGCTAGGATTCCTCTCTCTTTCAACTTCAGACATATATCATAAGCAGTAACAGGGGGCATGGCCTTGCTATTAAACTCCACAGCGTTGAATAAGCCTTTTCCTCGAACTTCTTTTATGAATTGAGGAAATTTCTGCTGAACCTTCATGAGCTGATGCCTAAGCTCCTGTCCCATTTGAGCAGATCTACAAGAGATTGAGTGGGTTACAACAGGGCTTGTGTTACACTGAGAAACAGAGGAAAGTATACACATTATTGGAACTCATTTTTATACAGGGAACTGTTGACTTAAACACTGTGCCACTGGACTNAAAAAATAACAAGAGGTATGACTGCAACCACACTGAAGGAAAAGAAGGGTTCTTGAGGTCAATACCAAACAATTATACCAGGGTTTTGTCGATTTAAGTTAGCAGTACATCTCTACTATAGAAATGCCAAATTGACTGACAGTAAGGATTGAGGCAAGGGCCAAAAGTTTAACTGACATCTCGTTGAGGTTATCACCAAAATAACAATGATGATCCTAAAGAAAGACTTCACATTCACACTATAGAAACACTCATCAAGCATGTTTCCATACCTCATGCAAAGTGGAGGAGTTAATCGGACAATAGAATCATGAGTTGGCTTAGCTAGGATTCCTCTCTCTTTCAACTTCAGACATATATCATAAGCAGTAACAGGGGGCATGGCCTTGCTATTAAACTCCACAGCGTTGAATAAGCCTTTTCCTCGAACTTCTTTTATGAATTGAGGAAATTTCTGCTGAACCTTCATGAGCTGATGCCTAAGCTCCTGTCCCATTTGAGCAGATCTACAAGAGATTGAGTGGGTTACAACAGGGCTTGTGTTACACTGAGAAACAGAGGAAAGTATACACATTATTGGAACTCATTTTTATACAGGGAACTGTTGACTTAAACACTGTGCCACTGGACTAAAATGATTCAGACTGATCATATGATTAGCTCTCAAAATTTCAGTCAAGTGAGAGAAATGCCAAGTACACAAGGAAAAGTAAGCTAGAGTTTCCAAGCTCTGTTATTTGATAAATTGCACCAAGTCTATATGAAATGATATGAACTAATGAAGGACTCAAGTCCATGATAAAGAGCCACAGATCCATAAAATAGAATATCCCAAAAAAGGTAAAGACCAAATGCCATCTAATACTGATCCTCTAACCTATTGCTTTCAATAATTAAAAAAAAATACTTTAATTATATTTTAGCATTCATATCTTGATACCATGGATCTGATTCTGTTTTTCAAAGAATCAGTCTTGAATTTGATGCTGAACAATNACATGGCCTTGCTATTAAACTCCACAGCGTTGAATAAGCCTTTTCCTCGAACTTCTTCTATGAATTGAGGAAATTTCTGCTGAACCTTCATGAGCTGATGCCTAAGCTCCTGTCCCATTTGAGCAGATCTACAAGAGATTGAGTGGGTTACAACAGGGCTTGTGTTACACTGAGAAACAGAGGAAAGTATACACATTATTGGAACTCATTTTTATACAGGGAACTGTTGACTTAAACACTGTGCCACTGGACTAAAATGATTCAGACTGATCATATGATTAGCTCTCAAAATTTCAGTCAAGTACACAAGGAAAAGTAAGCTAGAGTTTCCAAGCTCTGTTATTTGATAAATTGCACCAAGTCTATACGAAATGATATGAACTAATGAAGGACTCAAGTCCATGATAAAGAGCCACAGATCCATAAAATAGAATATCCCAAAAAAGGTAAAGACCAAATGCCATCTAATACTGATCCTCTAACCTATTGCTTTCAATAATTAAAAAAAAATACTTTAATTATATTTTAGCATTCATATCTTGATACCATGGATCTGATTCTGTTTTTCAAAGAATCAGTCTTGAATTTGATGCTGAACAATCACAATGACCAGGGATTATTCCAAACAGATTCTATATGGTGGTGATCTATATCTCTAACTCTCAACATCACAAAAAAAAAAAATACTCCAACTCATTACCAGCATTTTAGATATGTTTCCTGCTAACTAAGAGAAGAGGTGCAATATGTTTAACAATTTAAGATAAAAAATTTATCTGAATTCAATTCTTTACAACTTCCCTTTCTTGATGGCTACTGTAGCATGCAAGATGCAACTCAGTAGTATATCATTGAGCAACAAGTTTCATACCTCTCAGCAAGTTTCTCATCCCTGATAACCTCTAATGATGCAATGGCAACTGCACTGGCCAACGGATTCCCACCAAAGGTGCTGAAAATAATGAGTAGAAAGCATGTTAAACACAGTGAAGTAGAGCCGGATAGCAGTACCAAAAACTGATCGAAAGAGAAAAGAACATACATGCAAGAAAGAAGGAACTAACAATTATAAAGGAATCCTACATTTAAAACTCAGTAACATTTTTTGCATTGCACCTAATGGGTCAGATTCAACAACATCAATCCCGAAGTTTACTTTTTTCGGAAGGTAAACGATCCCGAAGCTTACTTACATCTATTTAAGGGACTCATTCTTGCTGGGAGGAACTGCCTAAAGTAAAAATTAAAAAAACCCTACTCATTCCAGTCAACTGAACAGAGATACATAACAACTCAAAAATTGATGACAAGGAGTTTCCTACTCTTAAAACTCAGTAACATTTTTTGCATTGCACCTAATGGGTCAGATTCAACAACATCAATCCCGAAGTTTACTTTTTTCGGAAGGTAAACGATCCCGAAGCTTACTTACATCTATTTAAGGGACTCATTCTTGCTGGGAGGAACTGCCTAAAGTAAAAATTAAAAAAACCCTACTCATTCCAGTCAACTGAACAGAGATACATAACAACTCAAAAATTGATGACAAGGAGTTTCCAGTTCTGACCTTTAAATTGACTTAAAGAATGAATCAATGAAAAGATGTAACACTCTAGCTTTAGCCCAGTAGAATGCATCACTTTTCTGAAAAACCCGAAAAGAAAATATGCAACTGATATTCATTAACTGGTTCTTTCATTCGTCATATTCTTTTAATTTATTTCCCACATATTAGGATTCTGTAATTTTACCAAGCCACAACTGGCTCATTTAGACATGACACCATGCAAACACTATTGACCTAATGAATCCAAAACCCTTCAAGACCTGGACCCACCACAATCCACTTTGGCTAACCCTATGCTTTTTTGGTTACACATTTAAACCATCATATCAATTCCAATCATGGACATGATTATGCCATAAACTCGAATCCATTTACATAGTGAAGGGGAATTCAATGGGAGTTGCATGTCTTGGCACCTTTGCCTAAACTTGTTAAAATGATTGATATTTCTTATAAGCAGCAATACAAGGTACATTGATAAAACGATAGTGCCTTTGGAAAATACGGCTATGATAACCTTCCATGCTCCCCTGGTTGGATGCAAAGCATAACATCTTTATCAGCAAGAACTGCACTAACTGGTATCACACCACCCCCTAATGCTTTTCCCAATATCTGAAAAGGCAGCCATAAAAGAAGTAAAGTACTGACATATATAGGCGATAGCAATAATATAATTATCCCAAGTTTCATGTATAGGTTTCAAATTTTATTAGAATATCATACCAATAATCAGTCGAGAAGTACATATTTGAATAAGTGGAGGGCCTTACAACAACATCAGGGTGGACTTCTTCCCAATCACAGGCGAGCATTCTTCCCGACCGTGCCATGCCACTTTGTATTTCATCAGCGATCATCAAAACATTATATTTTGAACAAAGATCTCTAACGGCTTTTAAGTAACCATCTGGAGGAATTATAACCTAGCAACATATATAATCTCATCAACAAAAGAAGGTGAAAAAATTGAGGGGGGTAAACGAACTGCCAAAAGGGGGAAAAAACATCCCCTCCCTCGCCCCTGAATTCCCTTAAAGGCCTTGAAGCTCCTGACATAACCATGAATATATGTGAGAGTCAATCTGTTTGTGCCATGAACACCTGCGCTTTATATACAATACAACATACCAGAAAATGCCAACCTCATAATGATTATTGAATTCATTAACAAATTTCATAAAAAGAAACTGTTGGGCTAGTTGGACTCCCAATTGAGAAACCCCAACATGTCCAAATTATTCAGATGAAATCCAAAACATACATACCCCAGCCTCGCCTTGAATGGGTTCAAATAAAAAACCAGCTATTCGATCTCCATTTTCTGAACACCACCACAAAACAAATCATGAGTCTTCTATAGATATATTCCAATGTGTAGGTCTTGCAACATTAATGGTTTAAGTGGATCATAATTTTATGCAAACAAATTCTCTAAGATTCCTACGATTGAAGTCTCTTAGATGTAGTATAGGCACAATAAATAAAAGAAATTTCCCCCTCTATAAGGAGAACCCAATATTTCACAAACCTCTAAATGTTTTCTCAAGGGCAGCTTCATCACCAAAATCAACTTTAAGATGGCCAGGCAACAGTGGCCAGAAACCACGAGTAGCCTCATTGTCACAGCTCATAGAAATAGCAGCTAATGTCCGACCATGGAAGCAGCCACAACATGAGACAATGATAGCCTGCACATGTAGTCAATGAATTAGAGCCAAAATAACTGCAGACTGCAATCTAAATAAACAACACTGAAGACTGACTCACTGACCTTAACAGGGATTATAGAGAAAGTTACAAAAAAACGTAAAAATTTAGCCAGCATACATCAGGATTTATTAGCTCACATTTGAAACAGAATGGAGGTGGCAAAGAGCGAAGACAGGTGTGGTATATAAAACTTAGCTTTTATTCTTTTGCTGGCTTACACCGTTTGAATTTTCTTAGCTATTGCCTAGTGCAGTAATAAAAGTTTTTGTCGGAGAGATTGTGCATTCGATTTGACAACAGCCACTANGTTTGAATTTTCTTAGCTATTGCTTAGTGCAGTAATAAAAGTTTTTGTCGGAGAGATTGTGCATTCGATTTGACAACAGCCACTATGTGCAAAACATGCAAAAGTTAGGTTGGAACCACTCCACCCCCAGCACCCTTGACTAATGTAGTCCAAACCTAGGATCAAATTTTTGTTTTAGTGCACAGTTTCGGTTAGCTCGAAACGAAAACAGTTCAAAAATGTTTTGGAAACAAAATGGAAATAAAGAAACAAATTTGAATTCCAATCCCAAAACATTTTGAAACAAACCTAAACATTCCGAAACACACGAATTTCGATTTTTCATCATTTATTTGACTCAGTTTCCACCAAAACCAAAACTTTTTGAAACGGAATTTTGATCCTGGGTCCAAACAGAGTAATGACCATTTATGACCCTTTACACAATTTGAATGGTCAGACAGAAGTGACAAAAGAAAGGATATGCTAAGAAACTAATGAACTTGTATAGTCTGCATGTAGCATCAGCTAAGGATGGAACAAACAGATTAGCTAGAAACGTTTGACAATGAGCAACAATAACTGATTCTATCACCAGTGACAAGAAGAGATTGGGTCTAACTTAAAAAGGCGTTCAGAGACAAATATGAAGGCCAACAAGGGCATCGATTGAGAACATAAAAAGAGACACAATGCTTATGAGTGAACCTACAATATATTCTACTTAGAACTAAAATGAGGAGCCTTTCTGTACATTCAGATCTCTTAAATCTTGATAAGGAAAACAAGTACAGTAATATGGAGAAGTTAATTCTTGTATGTGAGAGGTCCTAATCTATTCAAGTCAAACTAACAGCTTTGTAAGGGTTTTGAGGTTCAGCTGATGGCTTGTGTCGAGAGGAGAGATTGGACCTGATCACATGCCTTGCAATTCCCCAAGGCTTATGGCCCAAATTTTGAAGCTCTAGAAACTACCAAGACACATGCCTCAATATATAACACGAGTGTCCTCTGATCTCTAAGAGTAAGGGTAATGTAACGACTATCCCATGCAAGCTCCAACTATAACAAGAATCGCTACTTTAAGCTGGATTTCCATTTGTCTGCTTAAAGTCTAATCCAAAACTTTATTCACAAGATCTGAGTCGCTCTCACAAACTTCATTTAACGTTTTTTATCTGAAAAGATTTAAAGCCACAGATCTAAGGCAAAGTCAAGCTAATAGATTCTTGTGGGGAAAAAACATCTCAAATCTCGATGTACTACTGGAATGTAAGTTGACCAATTAGAGCTCTTTTATCTTTTCCTCAAAATTAGGCCTCTCCAAAAACTGTTAGCAGAGCAAATTGTACCAAAAACAAATTCAAGCATTATATTGCTAATTTGACCTTTTACTCTTCCTATATCTAAGGCAATGAAATTCATATTCTAACATAATCATCTTCATTAAGCCAAGGGATTTGCCTTTCCTTGCGGGAAGACCAATAGCCTCATCTTTAGCTATTGATTTTTTCATATTCAATATCATTTGTTTGGTAACAAAATCTGAGAATTCTCATGTTTGTGCAGTTGAAAATGTAAGTTCCTACCTTAATTTTTGACATTTTTGGTAAATGACGAAAATGCAACGACAACCAAGCAAGTTAAGAAGTTAGCAATTGACCTGTTCACAACTGAAACTTGATCATTTCCTATAAAGGTACCCTAAACCAATTACCCAAGATGCCGGGCGATAAACTATAAGATATAAAAATATCAAAATAAACTTATTTGAGTGTGAGTATGCATGTCTGTGTGTGTATGTTGTGACAAATTAATTGGCTTAAGAGTGGAATTTAAAGAGATTGGCTACCTTAGCCATCATTCGTTGCTTTGCCAACAGAAATCATCTTTAAAAGATTCTCAAAGCTAAGTTGATTTCGGCCCATCTCAAATCCTTATTTCTAGTGCGGACTTGTTGAAAATTGGTAATTGTTGACCTCCTTCCCCACCAAAAAAAAAAAACACCCCTGGTGCAAATAAACTTTTCTTTCAATCCTACATTTGTGCCAAAACTTCACCAGTAACTAAAGCAACGTTGAAAAAGACAAGGATATCATTTGAAAAAAAAAATTTGATTAAACATCAGATAAATTTCATTAATTGTAGGCATGATCCTATAGCTAAAGTTCTAAACACACATTTTTACCTCATCTTTAGGAATTTTTTTCTTTTGATAACCCCATTTCCTCGCCAACTTTAAAGCACTTTCTACACCTTCAGCACCGGTATTCATTGGAAGCACCATATCATAACCAAACAAGCTGGTTAAATGCTCTGCAAATACTGGAAATCTATCATTATAGAAGGCTCTAGATGTGAGAGTGAGCCTTTCAGCCTGTTCTACTAATGCTTTCATGACTTTTGGATGACAATGCCCCTGCAGTAAAGATCTTTTGAAGTTAAAAGCTGTGATGCAGTTTCATTCAATGCATGAAATTTAAGAGCACTACCGGCCAATAAAATTGTTTAATAATGGACTTTGATAATCCATTCACTGCATTTGCAGTCTACTCAGGTTTTGGCATAAAAAACTGTGCGCTGAAACATGAGCAAATCAATCATAAAGCATGATTTTATCCTCATCATTCATCACAACGGAAGAAAAATCTTTTCAAAAGGTAAATTCTCAAGCATACTACGCTGCAGGCCCAGGAAAAAAAAATTTGCCAACTCCTACATTGCTGACAAGGTATCATAACAGAAAAGCGGTGATTAAAGAAAAACACGGCCCCGCAATATCACCTGATTGACAGCGGAGTAAGCTGAGAGGAAGTCGAGATATTTGTTGCCTTCTGGGTCCCAAATAGTTGATCCCTTGGCTTGAGAAAATACAACTGGAATTGGGTGGTAACTGTAATTCAACCAGAAAATTATCCTTCAATACATTCTAGTATCATCTAAGTGACTGGGCTCGCATTTTAATTAGGCCTAACATTCAGCTTTAAGAATGTAATTTTCATAAAGCTATGCTACATGAATTTTTAATGATTTCAGTACAAACGGTGTGGAACACCCTCCGACAAGCTATGGTACCACGATTGATTCGGGGCAGCTGTAAAGCAGTCCTTAAAGGCAGATTACATCCAATTTTATGACTAAAAATTTTAGTGATGAAATCAGGTTTTATGGGTGATAAAAGGATGAGAGTTTGACAATGATAGATCGAGGAAAGGGAAAGATTAATGGCTGCTCAGGATGCAGTGAGCAATCCCCATCAAAGCAAACATTAGACATTCTGAGCTCTAGTGATGTGCTATAGTCGAATAAAAGACGGAATTTTCTTAGGCTAGTCAAAAGGGTTCTAGGAGAAAAAAAAAATCAAGGAACATCAGATCGGACCACTGGTTTAAAGGTCCAAAAAGTCAAGCAAGAAGAAGAGAAAAAGAAAAAATCTGGTTCATTACAAATAATTCCCATAGACATCATATTTGGCTTTAGGTTTGCTTGTATTACACAATATAACATGTCCTCCTTTCAATTGAAGACATTATTCGGCTGTATATAGACTTTTAGTACTCTTAAATGTAATAATTTCCACTCTATGAATCAAAACTAATGAACTTTGGCTAACAAACCTCATTTTGACTAACATTTTCATACATAAAAGCATATGACGGGTAATAAATCATGACCAATATTATTCTTACATTTGCATCTCAACTCTGTACTTTCACTCTCCTGCAGCGCATATATTTTGCATCCATAGAAAAAAAAAAAGGACAAGCAGAAACCCTACTCCAGACTAATGTTGGCCCATTTCAGGATTCTTTGTCACCAAGTGAACTTAAGATGCACTTTTTGAGTNAGGAAAGATTAATGGCTGCTCAGGATGCAGTGAGCAATCCCCATCAAAGCAAACATTAGACATTCTGAGCTCTAGTGACGTGCTATAGTCGAATAAAAGACGGAATTTTCTTAGGCTAGTCAAAAGGGTTCTAGGAGAACAAAAAAATCAAGGAACATCAGATCGGACCACTGGTTTAAAGGTCCAAAAAGTCAAGCAAGAAGAAGAGAAAAAGAAAAAATCTGGTTCATTACAAATAATTCCCATAGACATCATATTTGGCTTTAGGTTTGCTTGTATTACACAATATAACATGTCCTCCTTTCAATTGAAGACATTATTCGGCTGTATATAGACTTTTAGTACTCTTAAATGTAATAATTTCCACTCTATGAATCAAAACTAATGAACTTTGGCTAACAAACCTCATTTTGACTAACATTTTCATACATAAAAGCATATGACGGGTAATAAATCATGACCAATATTATTCTTACATTTGCATCTCAACTCTGTACTTTCACTCTCCTGCAGCGCATATATTTTGCATCCATAGAAAAAAAAAAAAGGCAAGCAGAAACCCTACTCCAGACTAATGTTGGCCCATTTCAGGATTCTTTGTCACCAAGTGAACTTAAGATGCACTTTTTGAGTTCAAAACAGTTGATCAGCGAAACTAGCCAAAGCAAGAAGTTATGTGCCTTGCTAAGGGATGTTCAATGGCCAGAACTGTAGATCAGCACGAATCAGTTGCATTTTGATAACTAAAGTTTCTCTAGTATAGAAAAAAGCCAAGCCATACAAACAAGTAAAAGTATCCAAGTCCTAATCAGGTGTTAAAGGAATTTTTGGTAATCACTATTGTTTGCTCCTTTTAGTTTACGAATCCTAAATAGTTAAGGTGTTCCGTTAATTAAAGACTGTTTGAACTGACAAGCATGGTTCCCTGTTCTGAAAGAAATTAGCTGTTTTTTTCCAATATCTACATTAAATTTTTAATTTTCTTTTCTGGCTGACCATGGTTTTTGAATCTTGATAATCATTTTACAATTTTATTTGTCAACATCATAATTCTCTACCTAAAAAACCCTTAATCTTAATTCCACATTGCTCACAGGTGATATTTACAACTTTGAGGGGCCTCAAATTTAGTACTTCCACATCAGAATGCTAAATTGAAGTTTAGTTTCCTGAGATTCTAAAAAGAAAAAAAGTTTCCCAGCCTGGTCACTACTAAGTTCATACATCTGTGGAACTTATAGCTTACCTTCACACTCAAACTCCCTTAAGCCTTCAAAGAACAATTGCAAAATGAGCTGCTGTAATGTCAGGATATTATCCTGAACTTCAGACTGTGTTTTGATTAAGATACAGTGCCCTCGTATCTTGACGTAAGGGTAGCAATGGTGTCAGAACGGCCACAATTGTGTGCTTAACAGATTAACATCCATTCTTTATCTGAGTGTTTTCCTGAGGGTGGCATATGTGATTGATGTGACCAAAGCACATTGTACTTACAAGTAACAACAGTATTGTATGAATCTAGACTGCAGATATTTGATTAACCCCGCAAAAGAACTAAACTCCGAGTTCCCTGAAGATAACAGCAATAAACCAAACTGCATAAAAATGTTGTGTGAAAAAAAAATCTAACGTAGCAAGCTGGCAGTGTATCTCTCATAGAAAAGCCTACATGGCAATAACCTTTCCAGTTATTTTATTTGGCACTATCTCAATGATCCGCTAGCTGCCTACTGCCACGATACAACAAGAACATGATCAGTCAATCCAATAACAAGAACCAACCAGTGTCCCCAAAATTTGATCCAGATGGAAATAGTAGCTTTTATATCATTAATTATTCCAGAATTCTCCAATTGGTATATTCAGTGTACCAAAAGCAAATTATGACATCATCTGATTTCTTAACGACCAATCAGAGCAAACTGCAATTCCAGATTCAAGATTCTAACAAAAATTGATCGAATTTTAAAAAAATTTGTCCATCAGGAACATATATAGTACAATCTACGGTTTGATGCTTTTGACTGGTTCAATTTCATATCTATTCAATTTAAGTGCGAGATGACGACGCATTTACCATGGCTGTCAAAGGCAAGCCTAGGCCTAAATTGATGTGTCAGAAAATTAAAACCGTTTCATCTTTCTCCTCTCTCCAATCTTTGAATAGTTTGTGCTGCACATATAAATCATATTTATGCTTAATACTGTTTCAAATGTATGAAAATTCGCTCCAGTAGCACCTTCGGGTGCATCCAATTGATGCAATATTTTTCAAGTGAAACATATTAAACCCAAAAACAGCTATGGATTGCAAAGACCTATTTTATTGAATTGCTGTGAGATATGATACAAGTATGATTAAAATATCTGAGCAAACAAGGATATAAGTAAAAAAATCATTCAATCAGACCATATCCACAAAGAAAAGAACAATTATGAATACATTATATTCCATTAACAAGCCCAAGTCATACCCATACACATACCCTTTCATAAATAGCACACATAAGCACACGATCATGGAAAATTATACAGCAGACCAAACAAAACCCAAAAGCCAAAACGTATGAATTCGATGTATAACGTAGCCAATATACAAAACCAGAAACCAAAGCATGGAAAAGATATTACACACACACACAAATATATATATATATATATGTACAGAGAGAGAGAGAGAGGGAGAGAGTATACTTGTGGGCNAGAAACCAAAGCATGGAAAAGATATTACACACACACACAAATATATATATATATATGTACAGAGAGAGAGAGAGAGGGAGAGAGTATACTTGTGGGCACTGCATTCATATTCCAAGTTGATGAGGTGCTGAGAAGAGGAAGGCATGCTGCCTTCAGGGAGAGCACCAAAACTCCTAACACCTGACTTACAAAACCTGTTCAGGAAAAGCTGCAAATTTCTCTTGGTTGCCATGGGTGATGACTAGCTCGATCAAACAATCAACTGTTGCTGAAGAAATGTTAATTACAGATTTGGGAGTGATAGTTCAGATACCCTTCTTCCCCAAACTCCTCTCTTTTTAAGCAAACTCTCTCTCTCTCTCTCTCTCTCTCTCCACCATTTCCCAACTGATTATGATACTTGCTGTTATATCGTCAATGGGAAGTGTGTCATGCACTTCCCAAAGCATATCTATGCCTCATTATCAAAAGGAAAATGCCCCTCAGAACCTGCGTAATTACAAGAATGGTTCATGCGAAACTGATTGAAGAAAAAACAAAAAAAAAACAAAAAAATTCTATTTTGATCAATGTATTTTTTTTTTTTACTTTAAAAATGATTAAATATATGTATGAATGAAATATACTTAAAAACCTTGAATTATTGAGAAAACTTAGAAAAATCAGGTCCAAGTGAATTTATTACGCGGAAAGTACGTTATGACCCGTGGCCGCCTGCCTGGTGGGGGTAGCTCCTCCGTTGTGGGTAAACCAGAAATCTGACTCTATGTCCAACTACGATAGTACCATATTTTCTATTTTTCACCAACCAATCAAAAATAACCACGTGTAAATTTTTATTTTATTACCATAATCATTTAGTGATTGTATGTAGGCGTAAAAATACTATTCATCCAGGGGCAGGAGTATTTTTAGATGATTAATACCCGGCCTAAAGTGTATATCCAAATAAGGAAGTAAATGAGATAAGGTGAATCTAAACATTATTTTGTCCAAAATCTTGATTATTACTTTAAAAAATATCGATCTATTATTTAAAATTTGCTGATGCGATGGAGATCCGAAATTTCCTATTAAATCCAACAAAAACCTGCTATGAAAAGGATGCTTATCGATAAGACTAAGAAAAAAATGCACTAGTGGACAGATAAAAGCACAAGCACTGGTTGAGTACACGTCTGAATCCAATAGATGGTGACGAATACAGTAATGCGGGCGGGAAAGACTAGGGGATCGAAAATACAAAAAATTATAATTATTTTTTAAAATTAAATTATAATTTTTAAAATTTAAATTACAACTCGTAAGATAATAATTACAATTCATTCATGTAATTAATGATTATTCATAATATTTTATGATCGATTATAATGTTTTATCAATTGATTATAACTTTAACTTCAAAAGTACTAACCTTCAATATGATACCAATTTTTTTTTTTTTTTTTNCAAAACTCCTAACACCTGACTTACAAAACCTGTTCAGGAAAAGCTGCAAATTTCTCTTGGTTGCCATGGGTGATGACTAGCTCGATCAAACAATCAACTGTTGCTGAAGAAATGTTAATTACAGATTTGGGAGTGATAGTTCAGATACCCCTCTTCCCCAAACTCCTCTCTTTTTAAGCAAACTCTCTCTCTCTCTCTCTCTCTCTCTCCACCATTTCCCAACTGATTATGATACTTGCTGTTATATCGTCAATGGGAAGTGTGTCATGCACTTCCCAAAGCATATCTATGCCTCATTATCAAAAGGAAAATGCCCCTCAGAACCTGCGTAATTACAAGAATGGTTCATGCGAAACTGATTGAAGAAAAAAGAAAAAAAAAACAGAAAAATTCTATTTTGATCAATGTATTTTTTTTTTTACTTTAAAAATGATTAAATATACGTATGAATGAAATATACTTAAAAACCTTGAATTATTGAGAAAACTTAGAAAAATCAGGTCCAAGTGAATTTATTACGCGGAAAGTACGTTATGACCCGTGGCCGCCTGCCTGGTGGGGGTGGCTCCTCCGTTGGGGGTAAACCAGAAATCTGACTCTATGTCCAACTACGATAGTAC